ATAGCTTTTTCAAGCAGTTCTAGTACGTTATAATCTAAGCCATTTCTAAGGACATAAATAGACAACTCTGGTTAAAAAAATAACTAGTATATTTAGTATGTTCATGTATTTCTTTGTATCTCAATATAATTTTAAAAAGTACAAATTTCACATGTCGAAGAGATTTTCATTACATCTTGTGATATGAAATAAACATAATTAAAAAAATGTGGAGAGGACCTACTCAAATATATAAAAATATGGATTTATAAAATATGATATACACTCTTGACACTTATCAGTAATTTTCAAGAACTCTTGGTATCATAACTTAAATAGAAAAACAACAATAAGAGCAATGACAACTTACAGTTATATTGATATGAATTTACTAAATAGTTGGTACTGTTTTCATAAATGTGATACGTTAGATCACATTTAACTGTCAATAATAAAGAAAGAAATATAGCGAAATGATTACTATTCTACTATTCAATTGATATTCTTAAAGCATCTGATAATTGTAAAAAATGGTATAAATGGTTTCTCTATATATTATGTTTCTCTTTTGTTTTAGTTTGAATACGAACCAGTCTAAACGACTTGTTCGAACAATTCAGTCGAAACAAAATCATCTGTTTAAAAGTGTTAGACTAGTCCAGATCATGGTTAATATTTTTCTCAAGTAATTTGAATAATTTCTCGAAACATAAAAAGTATCATTTTCATTCAAATGTCGACACGTTTATAAATGTTCAAGTTACAAATAGATATGTTTAGTTGGGCTTTCTTTTTGTATTTCGAGACAGGATATAGATTGTACAAAAAGCAATGACTTGGAGAACAAATCAAGTAATTGGTTTTAGAAAAGTGGTGGAATTTATATAGAGGCAGAAAAATTTGAATAAAAGATATAATTTTGTAGGCAAAAATTTCTAAAGAAAATCACGTTTCATTTGCGGCCATAGTTTTCTTGATGAAAAAGAAATGTTACAGCAGACTCTTCCAATGAGTTGAAAATATGATTTGCCTATCTATGATTCTAGATTAATCTTTCAGCCACTTTTGATTACATATAGACTAATCAATCATTACTCTGCTATTTGGATTGTATAAACTCATCTCAATTGGTAATTGTATCGTAATCTACCGCCAAGTGTCGAACCATACACTCAAATCCACTTTTCATCTCCTTTTGTCCTTGCTTTTGCGTCCCAATGAATAGTCTGGACAATGGAATGAATAGATAAAACGAACTAGATATGATGAATGTAAACATGCTGCGGACTAATCCAATCATAGGTGAAGGAAATTTCTCATAAAGAGAATCAATCATAATGGATAGATATGATGTTTCATATGTGACGTGACGAGTAATATACATATCCGACTAGTCAAGTAGGACGTCCTCAGTTATTGTTTGCTTACGTGTAAAACATCATATATATATATATTCATAACAACTGGCAAAATGAACTCACTATTTCGATAAAATAATGTCTTCACCGTGTGCGATCAACACATGCAAACGCAGATCACGAGCATTATGTCATTGTTGCAGCAAGAATCTTTGTCTTGATCATTTGAAAGAACATAATGATTTAATTCATTCTCAACTAAATCCTCTTGTTGATGAAATTAATACTCTGCATAATCAGATGTCGGCATCAAATGTTGATGAAATTATTGATAAATGTCGTCAAAAATTGGATAAATGGCGTCATGATTGTTATGCTCAAATTGATCATATTTATGAAGAAAAATGTCATGAACTTCAACAACGTTGTATTCAACAAACTGGTCAAAAACGAAAAAAAATTCATCAATTGAAATTAAAAATCAATGAACTTATTCAACAACAAGAAGCTATATATACTGATATTTTTTCATTGAAAGCAACTATTAATGATATAAAACGTGATGTTAACCAATTTGAAGAGAATGGCATTTTAGTTGATGTTCATCCTTTAATTATTGATCAAAATTTAATTTATATTGAAGAATCGACATCAAATGAAATTAATATATCAACTCTTTCATCTGCTTATCGATCAATCGATTGTTTCCATGATGATTGGCCTGCACTAGTTAGCAACAATCAATTTTTATTATTAGATCAACATCCAAATTTATGTTTGTTTAATAAAGAATTAACTCTTTTAAAACAAATTCCATGGGAATATGATCGTATTTCTGATATGTGCTGGTCATCGATATTAAATAATTTTATTATCATAACAAAAAACAATGAAGTTTTTCTAATTAATGAAAATCTAATATCCATTGAACGTATTCAAACAATTAAGAAGGAACAATGGCTATCTTGTACATGCTCAGATGCATCTCTATTTATAAGCACGAAAGATTATGGTTCTGGTATTTTTCAATTCAATCTTTTATCATCGTTTGATTTTATTAAACAATGGAAACCTCCTCAAACTTGTACCTACAGCGAACTTATCCATAATATTGCTTGTAATAATGAAACACTTGCTTTAACAATATCACATAAATATGAGAATTTAAATCGCATAGAACTTCGATCTTCATTAACGTTTGAAAAACTTTGGTCACTCAAATTTAATTCAACGTACATTGTTGGGCAACGGTCATATCGTGTTTGTTTACTGAGAAATGACGAATGGCTTGCAATCGATCATAATATGTCATGTCTTTTACATATTAGTAAAGATGGAAAATTAAAGGCAACGCGTTCAAACATGTTGGGAGCTCAAAATGCTGTTTTATTTGGTTCAAACATATTGACTATTAGGACAAAAAACCATCTAAGTTGTTATAGAGTATAGTAATATAATTGTATTTTTCTAAATTAAAGTAGATTGAACTCTATTTTTTATTCATGATTAGTAAATATTTCGTCAAAGCTTTGTATAAAACAAATTTTTTTTGTCCTATAAATCTTTTGCACAAAATAAATTAATTTTCTATTAATTCTTCATGAATTTCTCATATAGAGTAAGAAAGAAAAATAACATCTTCATGAAGAGCGTAGATGTCGATCTTCGTGAATTTCATTTTTGTTTTACAAAATTTTAATTTTGTAGTTCGTCAGTAAAAGTCAATTTCGTTCTCAATAATGCTCTTTTTCACAAGATATACTACAATGCCAGATACTCTTGAGGGTGTGGTTGTGTCAAGCAGCCATGACACGTGTTTCGATCTTTCTTAAGAATCCCATCAGATGACAATAATGCTATAAGAATTTAAAGGAAAATCCTAAGTACCAAATTTAATCTGTTACTTATAAAATTTTCCATCTATAAGTAGTGTGTCAAGCAAACTACGATCCAGATTTCGTCCTTGCTTAAGGAACTCGTCAGGTAGTTTTGACTGCGTAATTATTCGAAATGATTGCAAAGATCATAGATGCGTGTGGATGCGGGTCTGGGTGTGTGGGTGTGGGTATCTTACGGGCATGAATGTAAGAAAGATAAGCACCCACACCCTAATTCCTTATAGCAAGCTTTAAAAAAACTTTCTTTTTATATAATCCGATAGAGAAAAGAATGCTCTATTTTTCTATGCTATTTGATCATACTTCACCTAATGTTGTAGTAATAAAGTTTCAATAAGACCTGTTTTTCTATAAAATGGGACGGTTATACTATGTGGTTTAAATAACTTTTCGTAGAAACACGATAGAGAGCTGTGGTTTTCATCGTTCGAAAGCGGAGATGAAAATGCGTCGAACCACATATTATACGTTTTTCCTAGGCATTATCTGAAGCTTCGTCAATCAATTTTTTAAGTATCGAAAACAATGGTATTCTATTTCTTCACAGAAATTGCTAGAAAAATCAGTTAGAGCTTTGGCTGGAATAGCCATAACTCCGGAATAATTAATCTAAAATACCTGATCCTTCTGCAGTTCTGTAAGTCTCCCAGTAGCAGTTTGAATTCACCGCTGACAATTGAGGATTTGCTGTGAACACCTTATAGAGTAGGTTTGTTCTTAAAGAGGTCGATTGAAAACTCTTAAAAGTCATGCTAACAAATCTTTAATATAGGATTTGATGCATCTTCATCTCCGCTTTTCAATGGTGAGAACTGCAGCTTTCTATCTTGTTTCCATGAAAAGTTATCCAAAAAAAAAATTGAGCATTCTTTTCTCTATCAGATTATATAGAAAGAAAGTNAACATTGGAAAATCTTCAAAGTCATCCACTTTTCAAGGTAAATTTAAATTATTTTTACTGAAATCTCATCAACTACTCTTTTCCGCTCAATAGCTAAAACATGCGAAAATATTTGCTTATCTTCTCATTCAAAAATGAAATTCATACAGAAAGCCCGATATACAAATTGATAGAAGATCTTTTACTCTATGGACTCATATAAATAACTTTTATGGATATGTCATTTCCTATGAAAATATGAAGAAAACTCAAAAAATGTTACTGTTTCTATATTTTTAGTAGTAGAGATTTTACATTGTTCAAGTATTTGCTCTTATATTTTACGATCAACAATAAAAATCAGCATTAAAACCTACGTTAAATGAGGTATCTTGCGTCAGGTAAAATTATTTCGTATGTAGTCTTGGTAAACAGATATTAATTCTACACTTATCTTGCTCGTACATAAAACTTTGCTAAAATCAGGTATACCGTAGTGAAACTTTCTTTCTATATAGTCTTATAGAAAAAAAGCTCTATCTTTATATACGATATGATAATACCTGAAATAATAGTTATCCTAATGATAGACTTACAATAAGTATCTCGTAATCATAGATACTGCTTCTATTAGTACTCATTTTGAAAAGTAGGAGTCAATATTTTGTGAAATTCACGCATATTTTCGAAGAAAATAGTGAGTGTAAGTTTTAAGATCAAGGCTTTCCGGCTTTCTCTCCTTCACTCCATTGCATACACATAGCAACAGTGAAGAAAACATTAAAGATATATCCCAATTATAGACACCCCTTCATAACAGACCTCAGCAACCGCGCACAAAAGGACTTAGTTTCTATAAAATATTCTGATGCATTCATAAATTTAAAAAAAAACGTCCTTTTTTTGTTTACAAGGAATGCACTAGGATAACAACTTGGAAGGATATACGGGAGTTCCGCATCTCAGCTTCAAAGGAGCTGTGCTGACAAGCTTTACTGAATAACTATTGATAAAAGCAAGGTAAAGAAGTGCGGTTTCCGCGGTTCGAAAGGGAGGGGAGATGAGGACGATCGAACTATATGTTCCAGATTTTTCTGGTCTGCTTTTTGTAAAATACTCCAATAAACTTTTTAAAGACAAACTTATTTAATAGGTAACGCTCGTCTGTATGACTCGCGCTACTACGGATCTTACAGTTCAGCTCTAGCTCCACCTCAAAGAACTGTTCAAACAGCTCTTCTGATATGAACTGATCTTTTTGAACAGTTCTTTTGAGAGAAGCTCAGCTGTTTGATCAGCTCTTTTTCACGAACTGATCTTTTCGAATAGCTCTATTCAAAAGAGCTGATCTGACCAAACAGCTCTCTTTCCTGAACTGGTCGTTTTGAACAGCTCTTTTCAAAAGAGCTGATCTGATCAAACAGCTCTATTTCACGAACTGAT